TCGGCGGTCATGAAAGGGGGTGGCTTGACCATTGTGGCCTACGTGACATCTGCCTCGTGTAACACCGGTACGATGGCGCGCTCTGCTGCGTCACCTTCTTTACAGGAACTAAAACACGAACTGCTGCCAACGATACTTTAAACGTGCGCGGCTGCTGTGTGAGGTCGCGGGTCGCAAGCAGGCCCACAATGTTACAAAAGATAACGTCTATGTTCGCGGTTTCTTATAAGTATAGATTACGAATAATTGAACATCTAGAAGACACTTTTCGTATTTCTCACAAATTACTCAATTTGTACGTGGGAAGGTTGGCGAGCCTAATCTGAAGCCGTTCCTGGCGACACTAGCGCCTCCTATAGTAGCACCCTCGAGCTTTGTCCCGGTTTTGATGGAGAGTTGCAGCGCCCTGGGTCGAGCGACGAATAAGTTTCCAACCTCATCACGTCTCCTCATCTAACCTTGCCCGCAGGGCAGGAAAAGATAACGGCTCAGCTCGGCGAGTCTGAGACCAGCGACACACAGCGAAATTTACATGATGCTGAATACAAATATTTATAAGCAGAATGTACTATTTTATAGGGTTGCGTACATTGTTCTGCAGTCTTATTGTCAACTAGGGGTAACTTATTTAATATTTTACGTCGCACCAACGCTAAAGTGCAATGGATTCTCAGAAAATATTCGTTCCATAAATAATTCCGACGGTTCTCAGAAATGCGTGCGTCAGTCTTAGCACAACGGCTGAGACGCGAGACGTGTAATTAGAAGAATGCGTGAACGAATTCGGCAACACCGCAGCAGTTTTTTTTACTTGAGAAATAAAAATCAATTCCAAATAATAATGTAGAGTATATTCTAAGTATTCCCTTCCTTTGCGAGAAGAAACCATTTTTCACATGCAATACAACACTGTGGAATGTTACTGCGGGCGTTAATCAACAACTCGTTCGCAAGATCATTCACTTCCTCATATTTTCCTTCTCATAGGCCTTTTTTGGCTTTATACTACCCGTTCGTTTTCTTGCAGAACACTAATATTACTTCCTTTGTTATTAATAATTTTATTTATTCGTGTCTCCGCGTCTAAAACTATTGACAGGTTCTCTGATTGAAATCCATGACCGACTACCGTGTGGTTCAACAGTGTTCGCATGCCTTGCCAATGAAATTGGCAGGTTGGCTCTCGCGCCCGCGCTTACCAATCACTTCTATTCGGACTCACCTTCGTGCCCTCTTCTCTTACCTCTCCCTCACCCCGGTAGCGAGGCTGCTTCACCGACGTCATTTACATCTCAGTGTTGTAAGAATAACGACAAACGATACTCAATCGGAATGGCGTTCATTTAATGAACTTTAGACTATACAGCTTGAGTAAGAGACGAGCGTAACACACATTCGTCACCGAGTGTCCGGCGTCCAGTGTCTGTCTCAGACAGACTGTCTGTCGAGCGGCCGTCACGGTTGTTTTTGGCGCGCTCGCAAGGTGGCGCCACTGACTATGATACTTCTTCTTTGGTCCTATCTTCCATATACAGAAGTTAGGTGACCCATAACGGGTTTTCTTGGGATAAATTATTCAGGGTGGTTTCCCGTTGCCTTCCCTGACATGATGATTGGGGGTGAATGGACGAACACAATACAACCATGCCCGAGGTGGGACTCGAACCAGCGATCTTTCGGTACGAGATCGCTACGGCACTACTGCCTTTGCGATCTCGGCCACCGGATCGGCGACTATGATACAACACTCAGAAATTGCTCCGCCCCTTTGAGAGAACGAAAAGAAGAATCTTCCAGGGGAGGAAGCGGGAAGTGTCTGAAATTTGGAACCAAAGCCAATGATATGAGCCGCTTGGCCTAGACTGCAGGATTAGTCAAGTGTCCAGACATGGTTGTACAAACTGTGGAAGAGCCGGATTTGGCCGCATAGAGCATCACCCTTATTCTGTGCTATGGACTGTATATATATACAATGAAGTAATACTATAAACCTACTCTTAATTCTTATACTTGAGTTTTAAATAAAACAAAATTTGTTCAAAACCTATTCTGAATATTTCAAGGTCGTAGGGAAAGTAGGTATTCTACTCGCGCATGGTGGTTATTATTCACTCATAGCAAATACGACACTTGCTCATATGCCTTTCGTGTTGTAAACGTCACCTCGTCTATAATAGTCATCATTATGCGCCCGTTAAAGAATATACTATTATAGCTTTGTCTGTCAATCAATCTGTCGTTTCAAAAATTACAGGCGAGCGTTAACTATCATGTCCTGAACAACTGATAGAGGATCGATGATTGAAGTACTGATGTATTGTTTAAATGCTTTTTCTAAAAAAATGAAATTAATGAAATGTTTTCACAAACCGCAAAGTAAGAAAACTAAACTCATATTCTCCAGTTGCCTGGTGGCAGTGATCTGGTTTTCATTAAAATCTCTGGAATTGTCAGTTTTTTCAATTGTTTTCTAATTACAGAAGTACACATTAAGATGTTCTCAGCTCTAATATGTTTCAAATGCCTTGATTCCTCTTGCTATGTTTATAATATTGATAAATAGCGTAAATGCGAAAACTTTAAAAGATTTTTGTTTCATTTGCACAACTTTTGTAGTTGGTATTACTTTCCTTAGAAAATAATCTCTTAAAAACATTTCCATGGTATATTAACTTCTGCTGAACAGACATTTGCATCACTACTGAAATCATGCAGAGTAAAAGCGTTAGCTGCTGCTGGTCTTATTAATGAGTAAGGACTGTTATATAAAAGGGCCTGACAAATCTTTTGTGTATTTGTTCATTCTGGGTTAATAAAGGGCATATTAAATACTTAAATAACTATTAAATGTATAAATTAATATTATGATAGGAATGTATAAATAATATAATGCAGAAATATATTTTCTAGAAAAAAATTCCAGGCCAGTGTAATCAATTAATGTAGGTGGTACCCCAAAATGTAAGAATTGCATGATGATTCAGTACGATTGACATTAAAGAAACAGTTTGAAATCATATCATTTTATTACATGTTCTAGATACATCTTCATTGTTTTTCATCAACTATAATTCAACTCTTCTAATTTCAATAAGATACAATAAACAGTTTCCTGTTGTTTCTGTGAAATATCAAACTCTTCCAAAGTCTCTTCCAACAGAAAGATATTGACAATGACTGAAACAATAACTCAATCTTATATTATAATAATGAAATCCAGACTATTATATAAGTATTAGTAATAGTAATAATAATAATAATAATAATATAACAACAATACAATGGATAAGAAGAGAAGAATAGAAGTAGAGACGGGGAAGATGATGGACTCGCCTCAATAAATTACAAAATTAAAAAGGAAAAAACGAAAAAACAAAACACATAGAGACGTTTTATTTTTAAAAAATTAATGAGGTGAGTCCCCATTTTTCTGGTACTTTCTTCTTGATTGTGTTTTTGACGATTATTAACTCTAGTTTAGGAAGCATTAAGTTTTTTTAATTATATTAATTTAAATGTTTTTTCATACTGTCGTATAGAATGTCACCCTATAAAGTGACCACAAGTGGACATGGAATTTTGTGATATTCCATGAACTAATTCAAATACATTTCACAAGGTACAGATTGTCTTTCATTCCAAACAGAAACCAATTCTAATAATTTATAAATACTGTAACGGTATTTCAACTCTTCTTAAATAAGTAAATGTTATTTAGAAACTCATACATTTTGATGCATATATTTAGAATTTAATTCTCTGGATCCATGACACTCCCATATCTCAATCCACCACACTCTCATAAATGTTTATGGATTTGTCTTCTGAAACAGACATTATTTTGTTGCCATCTGGATTGTAAGTGATATCCCAGATCTAAAATTCAAAAGAAAGAGTGATTTAAAGCAACTGCCTTGGCTGACAAAACTTTAATAACCAAACACAGAAGACTATCATTAATGCATTTTTGATATGGATGTGCAACCCAAAAGAGAAGTGGGCCAATTACATTTGTGAGTTCCCCTTTCCACTGCACTTGTTTATTTACATATGACATATTATACTACTAAATAAATAAACCAGTTCAAGGAGAATAAAATTATAACTTTAATGACAAAATTAATACACAAGTACTATTGATTTTATGCTGTATCATTTACAGGTTTATTTGTAATTGTAATTGCACTGTCATGTTACTGCATTCAGCCATCAGGCAGCATCTGCCCAATTGTAAAATAAAGCTTAT